AGAGAGAGAGAGAGAGAGAGAGAGAGAGAGAGAGAGAGAGAGAGAGAAACAGTGGGACAGATTGGAGGGAGGAGAGTAGTCAAGAAATAATGTAATTCTTTTTAAATTACAATATTTCAATAATTTAAAATAATACACCTTAGACTTCTATTCATACCATTAACCACTATCCTACAACATAATTCAAGTAGCTGCATTCATCACATATTTAATTAATTCCTGATTATGGCACTTTGGGTACTTAAAATTTTTTATGAATTGCAGTGTATCACAGAAAGATCTGTACGTTGTGTAGGGAAATCTTTCTGGCTTTTGAACTTCTGTGAATTTTTCCATGGTTTTAAAAGAGAAATTATTTCAGGGAAGAGCACAAACACACAATTCACCAACACAGGGTGCAAGCCAATATTCCTATTTTTGAGGAAATTTCAGGAATAAACACACCTAGAACACAATGGATAAGACTGACCTTGGAAAAAAACACATTCATGATCAGGCTATCTCCCTCATGGAATAAGTTTTACCTCTGGATTTTTAAAACTTATGTCTTACCATTGAAACTATCTTTGTGTGTGTGTGTGTGTGTGTGTGTGTGTGTGTGTGTGTGTGTGTATGTGTGTGTGTTCAGGGATGTCCACCTGGTATTGAATAAGCATTTAGGTAGCTCTTTGAAGTTTAACTGTAAATAAGTTTGAATTTTTTCTGAAATAATAGCAATATAAAGAAAAATAGAAAAGATCTATCATATCCAACACAGTAATCAAGACTTTACACTAAATGGAGATAAAACAAGACTATTTCATGTGAACTCTGGAGGAAAGCATTTGTATGCAATATAGTGATATTCTAAGGCAGAAGGCAGAGACAGTTGAATGACTGAGGTTCAAGGAAAATTAACAAACTCAGATATGAACAAGAAATACATGGTGATGAATTAGGCCACTGACATTTGATTTTGCATTATAATTTGATCTCTCTAAAGTAATCAGATCAGTCAATGACATGATTTACTTTGCTCTCATAGTTTTCTTGCACAGTTGTGGAGATTCATTTTGTTGAGATTTAATATATTGCAACAGCATTAATTTTCTTGCTTGATACCATATTGTCCAGGCATAGCTGCCATGAAGGTCAGTCCTTGTAAAGGACGATGTTTATGACAGAACTTCCTGAACAAATTACAGACTAACACAAAGTTGTTTTCAGGTCTATTGCAGTTCCTGGACTTAGTAAACTATAATATATGCCGAATCCTTGAAAAGAATATCCCTCTCCATTTGTAAATTTGCCATGAGGGTTTCTGATCATTAATCACAAAAGACAGCTAAGAGAACATCAGCTAATATGAGGATTTTAGTGATGTGGAGCAACAATCACCACAGAATATATAACGGTAAACTATTTAAAAGATCTATGTGTTGCAGGATTTATATCAGTCTGTCTTCTCTCTATCTAATATGTTCATTTTTTGAAATGTTGCCATGCACCATTTATACCACACTGGACACACAGGTAGGGATTTTTAGCCAATAGTGGAAAAACACACAGATCAGAATTAAGCCTAAGCAATCAGACTCTAGCGAGCCTATTGTTTTAGAAAAATATCAGTAAGTTTTAAACTAGGTTTACAAAATGACTCAGATAAGGAATATTTATTTCACAGTGAACACATTTTTAAATTTCTTGGGATTCTACAGGAGAGGTCTTTTTAAAAACATGCATATTTAATGAGGACATGAATTAAAACAAATGAGAATGAGGGTACTGCAACCAGGTGTTGGCTCTTCAAAGAATGGATTCCTTATAAAATATCATCCAATCTGGTAAATGTTTCTCTGAATTTTGCATGGAAACGGAGTCCCTTTTCTCCCACACAGACTTATTTGTCATGATTTACATTCTCAGGGGAAAGAGATGTATAAAGTTGCAGTGCTCTAAACCTGTGGGCTGGCTATCACCTCAACCATTTCTCAGTAAAGTAAAGAAGAAAAGCAACAGACTACATTTTTCCTAGTAGCTCTAACCTATTTTGAGTATATTTTCAACTTGGATCTTAACAAAAAAAGTCCATTTTTATTTATATCATAATATAAATTGCCTAATTTTTTCTTTTCCCTTTCCCCTTCTATGATTCATCATTCCTACATAATTGTCTTTGCTCCCTTTTGAATTCACGACCTCTATTTTCATCAATAATTATGGAAATTATATATTTTATATAATAATTATATATATATATATATATATATATATATAGAGAGAGAGAGAGAGAGAGAGAGAGAGAGAGAGAGAGAGGGAGGGAGAGAGAGGCAGGGAGAGATAGAGAGAAAGAGTCTATATTCACATAGGGAAACCTTTTCTAATAGGAATCTCTTAAAATAGCACATGCATTGTAGGATATAGTTCTTTTGTTATAGGCGTATCATCTAAGCTTTTAGGAAATAGATGCAACTCAGAGTGAGTTGCATGGCAAGTGATGTCAAAGGAGATGCAGGGGGATGCATTTTCACATTCTACTAAAATTGATGAAATTGAATATTATGTGAAGTGTTGGTGAACAAACATACAATGTTCATCATAAATTATTAGATTTATTTACAGAACACTGAAATACATTTAAATCCATATATTCCACACGTTTGGAGAAAACAGAGTTTGTCTTTGATAGGTACATCAGTAGTGCTGCAATGATTGACATTCAGTGTATGATAGGGAACCCACAATAATTTGAAAGGTATCTATAAATTAAGTGTGTTGAAAGTCCAGTCAACAGGAAACAGCACACATAATTGTGATAATTATGTATTGCAAGTGTGATTAAAATTATAAATGTAAAATTTCTAGCAAGAACCAGAAAAACTGTAAAAACAAAACCAAAACAGTCACTTTTCAACCTCAAATCTGTGGGAGAAAACAGGTAAAAGTCACTCAAAAAGTAATTATCTCAACTTGAATTTTAAGTGAATTCCTTATTTGTTAATATTTTTATTGTCACATACCTTATTATAAAATACCTCTTAGTGTAATAAGATAGAGTGTGTATCCTTAATTTAAATCTCTGAGCTACAATAAGTCAAGAAAGCGCTGGACAATTCAGCAATGTTTTTTTTTTTTGCAGTTTTCGATATTACAACAAAATTACAAAATTTCTCACTTTCCTGTCCTCTCTATAACCTCTCATTTATTGTTCTCTTCACTGCTTCAAATTCCTGGCCTCTATTTCTACTAGTTGTTTTTGAACATGTGTGTGTGTGTGCGTGTGTGTGTGTGCGTGTGTGTGTGTGTGTGTGTGTATGTATGTATGTATACGTGCATAGTCATAAAGAAAATCTGTTCAGTCTATATAATGTTACTTATTTGCATGTTTTCATGAACGGCCCTTTATCACTAGACTACCAAGAGTCATGATTATCCCAATCTTTGCATGCCTTTATTGCCAATAATTCTTTGTATAGATTTGAAGCTTCAAGGATTCTTCTCCATCCAGTGTGGCATGCCCATTGGTCTCATGCTTGTTCAGCTCGTGTTTGGGGGAGCCCTTTTAGTGAGACTTTATGGAGTGATTTCTAATGTTGCTAAAAGACACAGTTTCAGAACACACTCCCTGATCATCTCTAAGAGTCAAAGAACTCTGGAAGGGCTGAGTTTAGTTCGCTAGTAAACCAGTGGAATGAGCTTGTGAGTTCCAGACATAGATGATTAAAATGAAGAAGGAAGAAGAAATGAAGAAAGACAAAATGCAGTAGTGAAAGAGGAAAAGATAGTTGTAATCATGTCTAGGAAGGCTCAATAAATAAATATATCTTAGGCCTGGCCTTCGTTGTAAAATTACCAAATGCTGTATAGTTTATGCTATTTAGCATATTTATATAAAATAATAAAATCTTTTGCCCTGGGATATTGTGTTATTTAAAACAGAGATTTAGAGGGAATTTCTCACAAGCCTTCAAGTAAATATGAATAATGTAAAAAGTCTGCTGAAAAGTTAAATATTATTATGTATATTAAAAATAAAGTTGCTTTCCTCTTTGGGAGATTGTAATACTCAGAAGGAATCACGCCTCTCAAACAGATCCTGACTGACCTTAAACACATAGGGTGCTTTTGGTTTTTCCTGAAATCATATTATTGCATTTTATTTAATTTGCTGAGGTCCTCACAATTTCCAAAAGGTAAATTAATGAATGAAAAATAATATCTTCCTATCATTCTTGAACAAAAATTAAACAATGAGTTACACTCATTGTTAACAGTTAAAATGCAGTCATTTGAGAAAAAAACAACAACAAAAACAAACATTGAAATATTGCCAACTTCAGAGACAGACCTTCCTTTTGTGATTCTCCCTCAGTGCAATTGTATTTCATAGAATAATCAACTGCTTTTAATATATTTATATATACATATATGTATATACATACATATACATACATATATACATATACATATACATATATATTTATATGTGTGTGTGTGTGTGTGTGTGTGTGTGTGTGTATGTATATACATATACGTATGTATGTATGTTTCTGTGTGAATCCTATGATTTCAAGTGTCCATAGAGGCCAGATTCTTCAGATCCCCCTGACCCAGGGGTTACAGTTGGTTGTGAGTTACAGTTTGCTCTATGATAGGTGAACACTGGTCCCCAACAAGAGCAGCATGTTTTATTATCCAACAAGCCACTTCTCTAGCCCCAAAGTTTTCAATGGTATTTTTTGTGTCTTATATATCGATATCATATTCTTCCAAATACTTTTCTTGTCTTCTTCCAAATCCTTCCAGTTATTTTGTCTCAGCCATGAGAAAAGCAACTAATGAAGGTGGTAAGTTATTGGAATATATTTTCCAAAGGAAAGTGTAGTGGTTTATGTGATAAATGTCCCCTACACCCACTCTTGGGAACTTTAACGCATGGTCCCCAGTTATTGGTAGTATTTGGAGAGATTTAGGAAGTAGACTATTGGTGGTTGATTAATGATGGTGATGATGATGATGATGATGATGATAATGATAAAAAAGCTCCCCCTACTTCTAGTTCCCTGTCTCTGCTTCATGCTTGCAGTTTAAGACGCAAGCTTTCAGCTTGCTGCTCTCGACACCATGCCTGCTGCTTGCTGTCAGGCTTCTCTGTCATCATAGACTTTAACTCTCTGAAACCATAAATTCAAATCATCTCTTTATTGCAAGTTGCTTTGGCCCTGATGTTTCATTGCAGCAACAGAGTAGTGGATAATGCAAATAGAATACAAAAAGACAAGAAAGTATAGAGAAAGGTGTGACTTCACATCAGTTGGGTTAGAGTATAGCAGTTCTACAATAAGATACCACTCCATGAGTTCATAACAACAAGCGATAGGTAAATCTGCATCCTGGTGCAGTTCCAGTGGTACCATAAATTAGAAAACATTCATAGCTCTTCAAACTATTGGGAGTTTTCCAATTTTTGGAAAGAGCTCTGCAATCTATTGAAAGTAATTACATAGTCTGCCATTTTCACCCCTGCGTATCTACTCAAGAA